TTGGGAATCCTGAGGGGAAGAGACCTCTGGGGAGACCTAGACGTAGATGGGAGGATAATCTCAGGTGGGATCTATGGGAGATAGGAGTTGAAGGAGACTGGATTTTGTTGGCCCAGGACAGGGTCCGGTGGAGGGCTTTGGTTAATTCGGTGATGAACCTTCGGGTTCCGTAAGCCATCTGGTTGGTTGGGTCCACTATTTGGGAAGTCTGAGAGGAAGAGACCTCTGGGGAGACCTAGACGTAGATGGGAAGATAATATCAGGCGAGATCTATGGGAGATAGGAGTTGAAGGAGACTGTATTTTGTTGGCCCAGGAGAGGGTCCGGTGGAGGGTTTTGGTTAATTCGGTGATGAACCTTCGGGTTCGGTAAGCCATCTAGTTAGCTAGTAGCATTATAAGACAAGGTATCAAAATAATCTGAAACATACAAATCCTTAAAACGTGAAAATGTACAACTATTCTGATACAACATGGCGTCAGTGTATAAGCTACACCATTGATAAGTATTTTTATGATCTATAGATTTTCTTAAATATCATTACCGATGTCTGCAGTATTTTGATGTGTACGTTTACATTTATCCCTTCGAAACACTGTCTCAAACTGATGTTATTCTCGTTTTCTACTGCAGTTTCTACTCTGATTCCAGTGATGTGGATCGCAGTTCTTTCACATATGTATACATTTTTCGCATTACAATACTGGCGCAGTTGTGCGCATGCCTTCAGTATTTAATAATGTTATGGAAAACAGTGGTGCCAACATTACTGTCATTACATTTCTATTGCGTCTTTGGATGTGACTAAATCTAAAAAAAAAAACTTTGTAATCGCTAAAGGAATGTTTCTGCTTTATAAATATTTCAAACACAAATAAATATAAATTATTTGGTTTGTAAAATCCACACGGTGTGAAAGGTTACCAGATAAAGGAAGATTAGTCCATATTAAATATATATATTAAAGCTGATTATATATATATATATAATTAGCTTTAATTTTGTTAAATTTCGGACAGGTCACACCTCCAACGTAATAAGTTGGTTTTATTTAACCAGGTTTGCCTTTCATTTCACAAAAGTATCTGTACGTTTCCTTAACCTAACCTAACTTACGTAAATCATCGTATACGAATTAGTTGCATTCGAACGCGCACACTAAAAATCCGTGCAGTTACTATCGTCACAGAACAATCAATACTGTTTATCTATCACATGCTTCTATGTAATACGTTTTGCTTCATCGATGCTTTTAATCTTATCTTGTTTGGAAAATTCTGATAAGAAAGCGAAATCTTAGAGAAATACGGTTAAGTTTATATCTTTTTTTTTATAAGTGTTTAGGAATCGTACCCATTTACAGTATAGGTTTTTCTGCGTAAAACTGATCCATAAAACAAGGAAATCAAAAGCTACAACTAAGATAACAAATTAAAGGTGAATCTGAAGTCAGATATTTCATATTTGGGCACGTTAATATCATGATTATCACAAAAATTAGCAGATTAGTTTTGATGAACGTAAGGACACAAGACTAGATTCTATAGTGTGTTAACCACAAAAATAGACTTCTCAGAAAGATAAAGTCCATGACGTAGCCAGATGCTGTCTTGTAGATTTTCAAAACAGGGCATTTCATAGTTTATTCTTGCTTAAGTTTATGCTCCAGTGTAAACAGACATGTGAAGGGGAGAGGGCTGAACCACTGTAGAAAGGTAATTATAATTAGCACTAAAAAATCAGGCCTGGGAATACAATTTCATCAGATATTTGTTGTGCCTGGTCTCGATCGAAAAAATTTCAGAGATCTACATACACCATAAGTGCTGGAAAAGACAGCGCAAAATCTACGGTACGGTCATTCAGATCTTGTAGAGAAGAAACAATTTTTTTTATAATTTTTTATCGGCGAATTATGAATTCAATGGCTAAAATTCATTAGGTTAGTTGTTAATATGGAGTCAGGATGTGACGTAGATTATTCGCTTAGAGTGTAGAACTTCCTGAGCGGATGTGCACAAGTTCCAAGTAAAGCTGTCGTGAAAAAGTTATACGACTGGAAAATTCAAGATGTAATAACCACAATAAGCTCTGATGCAACGGCTTCTAATCGTGGTAATCTGGTTCGAGTATGCCATTCGATTGAAAGAATACTTCATAAAGACCCCTTTCAACTTGCATGTCGGCATCACGTATAACAAGTAGTTCTAGAAGACGTATTCATGCACTCTGTAAGATCATGGAGAGCCCCAGAAATTAGTTTCTTCAAATTATTTCAACAGAAGGTGCCCCAACATTGATCATAATCGCTAAGAATGGCTGTTTATGCTGTTAAACGCTCAAAGTAACATCACGCGCTCGGTCAGTCGGATGACCAAGTTTCTTTAGTCCATCGAAGTATTTCACATCCAGAGTCACTTTCGACTGATCGCAAGAGCATAAAGTTTACTCAGAGATCCCAGGAGGTTTATGTTCTTCCAGTACACGTGGGCATTGATTTCATGTCATGGTCCAACTGCTGCCCTTAAGATACTGAAGTGACATTGTGCAGAGATATATGGTACAAAGGCAACTAAGAACTAATTATGATACTGCTCGTATTATTTTATTGTAACGTTGGCAATAAGATGTGAATGAGTGACGAAAGCGTGGACCAATCGTGTAAGAAACTATTAGTATTTAAACAGAAAACTGGAAGATTTTGTAACGATCAACACTTCAAAGTTTCTTGGTATCCTATAAATGTCCTACAATTTCCTAACAACGGTAAATCAAAAGGAGTGGAAACAGAATGAAGAAGCTTACTATGTCAGTGTGCAAGATACTTTGAGGTGTTACATAATTCTGCCAGTACAAGACCTGAAATGTTCCATTACCAACACTGAAGGAAAGCAGTAATAACTTAAAATTGTCTCCGAGCAATAGAGGAATTTTCCAGTTGACCAGAACTCCGTTCTTGTTGGAGAAATTCAATTAAAAATTTACAGAAATTACGCAGAAATTTTATTGGTATAGGTAATCACTTCTGAAAATTTATGATTTATATTTACTTTAAATTTATTAATAAAGTTTTAGCAGATTAAAGGAAGGTTTAATTTCTTTCCGTAAATTGTGACTCCCTGTAGACTTGCATGGCGAAATAAATCAAGGCATCGTCCAATCGCAAAATTCCCAATAAAGGCGGAATTCTGCATGTAATGCAATTTTGTACATTATACAATCACTACATGGTATCATGAAGGAAATGCATGAATTTGATTGAATAGCATATATAATATATTTTATTTATATGTTACTTCCGTACAAACTTCAGATATCGGAACTTCGTCGTATTATTGCAATAGTTTCAACAGCAAGCGGAATTTATAATTTCGTACATAAGCAAAGATGCGTACACTTTGTTACTGTGATCGCTAAACAACGTTACTGGTATGCCAATGGTCTCCATCTAATTTGCGCTAAAACAGATGGGTAATTTTAACGACGCAGTATGAAATAGTGATTACATAACGTCCGAAATTATATGTTATTGAAAAAAATAAGAGGCAATTGTCACGTTACATCCGTAGGATTCGCATGAAAGCCTAAGGGAAGCTATAGAAAGTGTCAGAATTTGAGCCGGATAATATTGAATTGAGATTTCAACACACACTTTTCAACTTAAAATATTTTGAACTGTATTGTCCACTTGTAAAATATTAATAAGCTGATAAACATTTTTATCAAAATAACATTTAATTTTCACAGTTAAACTCTTAGAAAACGCTTCTAGATTCTAGTCTTTGAAGGATAGCAGACGCTTACAATAACTAAACATATAACACTTTAAACGGCGTGATTTCCTTTGAAGTAGTAAATAATAATATAATTTGCACGGATAGTCTGAAACGAGGTAACAACAAAATTCATCTTAAAAGCCGTATGTTGTCAAACGGGCTTAAAAAAAATGAGTATAGAAACACGACTTTATTTTGTTGTGGAATAAATTCATATTATCTGGAAATAAATTGGTTGATGAATGGTTACAGTCACAAAATTCACAGTAATGAACTGCTGTATTTTCGTATAAATTAATTTTATTGACATCGTCTTACATTTAATCATCCTCTGGCATCCCGGGGGGGGGGGGCTAGCTGCAGACCCCGTTCCACTCAGTCTGTTATATTAAGTTAGTGTAACGTATATGTGAACAAACAAAAATCTGTAGAGGGTACAGACTTATATTCACAAATGTACTATAAATATTAATGAGTACACTCTTATTCACAAACAGACTTATTGAGAGTGTTATTGAGATTTTTCTATCTTAATAGTTCAGAAGTTCTATTTTCAATTTTGTTTCTTCTTAGATTTATCAACATTACTGATACCCGAAAAGATTCTCAGTAATGCCCTGATTATCAAGAACATTACAAGTAAAGCCGACCCTGCAGCCAAGGCTAAAACAGCGATGACATCTAGCAGGAAGTACTGGTACCAGGTGAGGTCGAGTGCAGCTGAGCGCATGTGAGGCGCTCCCTTGTGCCTGATCACGTACTCCGTCCAGAACACGGCTTGCTCCAGTGGAGTGAGTGGCTGGTCCCGGTAGATTCGGGACAGACGCTGGGCGTTTTCACGGTACCTTGAGGACCACGATACAAGTTATGGGCGTCATCACAATTGAAATTTCAAAATATGTTTTTTTTATTTCAACACACATAATCAGGGGTGTACTGCTGGGTGATCGGAGGGCTCGCTCAAACCCCATTTATTGGCTAATTATCTAAACGCTTAGTCATCAGCGCACACAGAAGATGAACCGGTATCAAAATACAGACACAGACGCATCGTTATATCGATACATCTTGCCCGTCCACAATTCCCAATGCCAAAGCTAGAAATAAAAGGGGTCTGTAGATTGCTGGTGAGGGCCCCTTGATAATAAATTTACAGCATACTCCTGCACATAAATAATTTGTGTTAAATACCTATTATTTTCGAGAACTTCTTTAAGTGCCCAGGTCACAGATTCTGTTGTAATGTTATGGAATGATAGCATAACACCATATCCTGCAGACTTGGCACGTGCCATGTTTAGTGTCTGATCGCCAAACACAGGGATTCCCACCATAGGAACTCCACGGTTAAGTGCCTCCTGCGTACTGAGCAGTCCTCCGTGTGTCATAAACAATCTTATGTTTCGATGTGCTGCAGAAATAATAAGTCGCTTTATTTACTTAAAAAGTAATATTTAAGACTCTTTAGATTACTTAATTAAAACTATAAAGCATTATTATTCTTCATTTGAAATAAGTAATACTTCGGTGACTTCACGGTAGTGTTAATAAATTCTATTTCATTACAGGTAACATGCCGAGAATATTTTGCGCCCGTTTATAACTACGAAAAATGTATAACAAAATGAGTGACTGCTCTAAGTTCAGTTAATTTAAGCTTCTACCCCTCTTTATAACTATTTTCCTATAATTAAATACATTAGGAAATTGTTCATATTAAATGTTTAAATGGCCCTAAAGTATTACCAGTTTCGTCCGACCCTTAATACTGAGCCTTGACATTTCAACTATGCAGCTCAAAACATTTTCCGCCATATTATAGTAAGGTACACGCACTCTCTTGTTTATCATACGCCTATGTTCCAACAGCCTCATCGACATCAACACAGAAACTTGTGTGAAAATTGTCTCAGGCCGGGTCCAAACAAAGAAACACTTACATGTAAGCAAGCATACGTCCAATTATCCCGCACACTTACCCAGGATATCAGCCTGAGGGAACCACTTGCCCAGTCTTACGTTATCTGGTTGTCCTGGTAAAGTCTCTGTCTCCCACTTCCAGAGAACCTTTTGCTTTAACTGAGAAAATGCTTTAAGAAAAGCATCTCTCTTATTATCAGGCAACTCTGAACTGAGCAAGTTTGAGCCCATGCTGAAGTATATCACCCCATCTGTTGCATCATCCAAGAATTTCTCAAGTTCCTAATATCAATAAAGTACAGTATATATCACACAAAAATACAGAAATCTGAAAAACTTAGCATTCAATTTTCCTGTTTCTTTCCCGGCGGGCGTATAACCAGTGCAGCTAAAACACGTTTGAACAGGTCACAAATTTCAGTATGCAATATTTATATCAAGTGTCATTACAAAAAAAAACCCCCAAAAAACCCAAAACCAAACGCTTTCGGAATTGTCTGCGGTAAATCGAATATATATGTTTCCCGTTTAGTTGTCGGATTTTTCAACAGTTAGGCTCCTAAGTAATTGGAATTATTTAGCATTTATTTGTCTGAAATAATTTATATCCGATTAAACAGTTAACTGTTAAATAATAAATTTTAAATTTAATTTTGAATCCGTTATGGGCGCCTTCATTCTGTTATCGATTAAACACTGGGACAACATTTTTCTGTAAAATATACTGATTGTTACTCGGGTATCAGAATGGAAACAATAACAATTAGATAATCATTACATCATAACATAACCTTTGACACGACCAACCCTAATCTATTTACAGCAGATAATCTTTCTTGCATAAATGTATACGATGAAACTGTCGTGCTTTACAGATAGTAAAATGTTTTTAATAGAGTGGAGGTTGGACAACACTCATAAACAACTTAAAAAATAAAATTACATAATATTTTACTTATGCATTTACCTCTTAAAATAATAACTCTTGATAACTGGTAGTTAGCAACACTACCTTGTGACAAATGACAGGGTATTATAAACATACATAAATGATTTACGAGTCTATTCAACGAAATCACACAAACGTTGAAATTCTGATTGGTAATTGATAATTAGCATTTTATCGGAATTAGTAAAATTCCATCTGAGGACAATGGACGCTTTGTCCATGACTGAGCTACTGAATAAAAATCCTTGTTTAAGGCTTTGACCGGGATGTTAAATCTTATGTGTTACCGCCTGATTCGAATTCTAATGGTTAAGTGAAGTGTTTTCTTCGCGGTACGGTCTGGATTCGTAAATATTATGAAGACGAGCTTCGGCTTCAAAGGGTTAACCAGCTGATTTTCGTAATGGTGAGGTGTAGTGTTTTCTTCGCGGTACGGTCTGGATTCGTAAATATTATGAAGACGAGCTTCGGCTTCAAAGGGTTAACCAGCTGATTTTCGTAATGGTGAGGTGTAGTGTTTTCTTCGCGGTACGGTCTGGATTCGTAAATATTATGAAGACGAGCTTCGGCTTCAAAGGGTTAACCAGCTGATTTTCGTAATGGTGAGGTGTAGTGTTTTCTTCGCGGTACGGTCTGGATTCGTAAATATTATGAAGACGAGCTTCGGCTTCAAAGGGTTAACCAGCTGATTTTCGTAATGGTGAGGTGTAGTGTTTTCTTCGCGGTACGGTCTGGATTCGTAAATATTATGAAGACGAGCTTCGGCTTCAAAGGGTTAACCAGCTGATTTTCGTAATGGTGAGGTGTAGTGTTTTCTTCGCGGTACGGTCTGGATTCGTAAATATTATGAAGACGAGCTTCGGCTTCAAAGGGTTAACCAGCTGATTTTCGTAATGGTGAGGTGTAGTGTTTTCTTCGCGGTACGGTCTGGATTCGTAAATATTATGAAGACGAGCTTCGGCTTCAAAGGGTTAACCAGCTGATTTTCGTAATGGTGAGGTGTAGTGTTTTCTTCGCGGTACGGTCTGGATTCGTAAATATTATGAAGACGAGCTTCGGCTTCAAAGGGTTAACCAGCTGATTTTCGTAATGGTGAGGTGTAGTGTTTTCTTCGCGGTACGGTCTGGATTCGTAAATATTATGAAGACGAGCTTCGGCTTCAAAGGGTTAACCAGCTGATTTTCGTAATGGTGAGGTGTAGTGTTTTCTTCGCGGTACGGACTGAATTCATAAATAATATTCAGACGATCTTCGGCTTTAAAGGGTTAATCTCTAAACGCAATGGAGATAGGGATTACTTATACGAAAAAGTCTAAAATTTATCTCGTAAAAATATAGGCGTGCTCCGCAAATACCAGCTGTATACTGAGTTATAATTTCCCCCTCTCATCGAGACTACGTAACTGAATTTTACCTGTGGAATTTTATTTGGTGGCTTCACGTGCATCCCGCCAACCTGCACCATATTGGGCATAAGCGGCCTGGGATAGCTTATACTGAAGTGATGGTTCAGAAGCACGAGCGACGTAGAGTATTCTATTTCATTTACTGAAGGCATAGCAGAATCGTTGAAATGCTTTCTCATTATTGAATCCTGACCTGGCAGGTAGTAGTAATGGCGCCCAAGTCTCCATCCAGTTCCCACGATCGTGTTAACTGCTCTTTCCCAAAAATTCATTTTGTCGCTATATTCGAGGAAAGTGTCGGGGACATAAGAGTAAGGGTTTGGATTGCCAACCCAATCGCCAATCCAATGTGTTCCTCCAAATGTACACAGATGGATTAGGGGAGCTTTAAATTTATGAACAAAACCTAAAAAACATTCATTAAAAAATGCTTCTATAATCAACAGATCGAAGTGAAGATTTGTGGCGTGAATCAATTTATTAATTTCTTCTTCTTGTAGCATCAAATCACAAGTTTCCTGACTACTACGCCATATTAAAAATGCCTTCAAGAATATACTAGTGCTCTGTTGTTGAAATAAGTTTATTGGTGCTCCTGAAAACAAAATAATGTTCAGTTATTCTACAGCAGTGGTTTCAACCTGGGGTACGCGAAGACATCTTAGGGGGTACGTGAAATTTTAAAAAAAAATTATAATAAGCACTGAATAAACAGTAATGTGATTTTTTAAATTTATTTTAGATGTAGATTATATACTATGTATAACTTGGATTATATACCAACAACTTTGGGGGTACAAAGTTGAAGAGAAATTATATCTGGGGGTACGCGAACAAAAAAGCTTGAATACCACTGTTCTACAGAACACTAACGAAATCTTAGATTAATGTAGCGAATTGTTACTATAACACATAATTTAATATTAGAACGCATCTGATTTATACTGAAACTGACAGACAATCCTCTGATGTACACATTTCAGATTTCTATCCTCGTCTTCAACTTCACAGTGCACGTGACGTCTTACCTTCAACTTTCATCAAATCCATCAACGTTGTCTTCACAATGATTTCCGTATAATTAGCTACTTTCTCCTTCTGAGGGTTGTAACTAATAACTGTAACTTCATGTCCTCTATTGGCCAATTCCAGCATTAATGCCGAAGCCACGAAGGCATGGCTCCTGGCATGAAAGGGAAATATTCCCAATATTTTTGCCCCATTACTCGCATCAACCATAAGCAGTGTAGCTACCACAAACCATCGCTCAATCGCCTGCAGAGAAAATAATTAAAAGCATCTAAAACTTATTTGTATTCAAATCATTAATTATATAGATAGCCACATGCCTTATGCATTGGGCACGTTAAATTTTATTAAACTGGTTTAATAATTTAATAATATTAATATCCCGTATATAGCAATGCAATTTACATGTTACCGTTATATATTCATACAAACTATGGCGAAAAACAACGTAAAAGATCGGACTTCTGGCATAACAGAGCAACTTCTGTTGGTTTGCTGAACATAATTCGTGAGAATTCAACAAGATCTGCAGCTTCATGAATCAATTTAAAGACTCAATAAAACGGGCTGCATACTTTACTTAGGGTTCCTCAACTGAGTGGTATGACATGACGTATTTTTATCTGCTAAAAATGATTAACAACCTTTCCTATAGGATTAAATAGAATTTAATGAGATCGCACTTTGATGTTACATAGAAAGTCATTGCCTACTTCGAAACAAATCAATCCATGGCCATAAGTAATAACAACGTCCTACAAATGTAAAATCTATCTCAGTATTATCGTACTTGGTGCCTTATACATGCCAACATACTGATTGTATTAAGGTACAGATCAACTAAACTGAATGCTTTATAAAATGAAACAACGAAAACCTTCCACTGCACTTTCAAAATTAAATAAACAACAGTAATGCGGGTGGCCATCAAAGTACCACCGAGTCTCCTTTACGTAAATCTACTGCGTTGATTCCCATCTCAAACAGCAAGTCATAAACGACAGATGGAGTCCAAGATAAAGTTAACATAAGATCGATCAACAGCAAAGATTCTTCGTCCCAACGTTATCTTCTATCCCGGAGTCCATACCGAGAAGAATGAAATTTTCAGGGTTTCTGGATATCTCATTAAAGACGCTACATCAAAACCCTGCCAAGGACTAAAATACTAATTCATATTTTTATAAGAAAACATAATACTTTCAGAAACACAAACAAATGTTTATCATATTTGATCACTTAACCTTAAAATCAGAATGCCAATGAACAACAAATCACGATAAATAAAATAAATACATGCTCCCCTTGCACGTTTAGTCTTGCAATTGCAGCACAAATAATACAGCGATAATGTTAATAATAATAATAATAATGACCATTATTTTGTACTCGTTAACAAAATTTTACTGAACTGTACACGTTTCACAAACCAAAACAACAAGAATTTGATATATTTCTTCGAATGTACATATTTCGGTATTCATTTTCAATAATCACGCGGTATGAGATGAAGATCACGCATGAATACTCATCGCCCTGATGATGGAGGCAGCATGGACCCCTGAGAAGTCGGTAAACTTCTACTAGACTACACGGCGCAACAACCCAGAAGAAGCCAAGTTCAGGCTTACCGCCGGGAAATCCTCAAATCCTTTCTAACACTTATTAGAAAACTTACGTAAAACATGTTGAAGAATGCGTCGAACTGATATCTGAACCTTGGGTGATAACAGAATGTCTACAGATTACTATTGGTACTGGCACAGCAAGGTGTTCAGTAAACAAGTTATATAACCAAACTTTATCTCTTAAATTATCACACACAGCGTAATAGATTGACGCATCTCTCCAAGAACATTTCATCATGCTGAGTATGCAATATTACGAATGAATCTTACGCATTGATGCAACAGAGAACATAAGCTGTTCGCTTTGTGAACTTAAGTACATAGAAAAATCTAATTTTTTTGCCAGTATATCACATGGATAAAATCGACTTTTTCACCAAATCACTAAACATTCGTTTTACGAACTCTTATACGAAATGTGGTTACATAACTTATTCTTATCGAGATACAATTAATTTACGTCTCTACGAAAAATATTAGCTGGACTGCTGATTAATATTCCACAGAACAGAATTTAAGAGAACTTACTCTATGAATGTACAGTCTTTGATTGACTTTGAACACATCATATACGGAAGGATTATTAAGTTATTTAGACACATTGTAGGACTCCTTCTGGCTTATCATCATGTCGAAGGCCTCTACCAACTCGGGACAACACAATAAGATGCGGACAAATATTCGCGCCTTGAGCGGGATTCGAGCTCAAGATCATAGTGTCAAAGCGATCATGGTCCAGTCCCCAGACGCTGTGATCAGAACCACCAATCCTTTCAACGCAATGTGCGTGGATTGAATCTTTTGTATATGTGAGCACTATAGTTCACTAAAAAACAGTATATTTACAATGCCAGCAGACCATTTACGGGATCACAACATATACTGTGCAAACTTTGTCTGAAGCACAAACTATTCTCACATTTGTCGTACACAATGAACGCCCAGTTTCGTATAAACAATGATTTATTCAACAAAGTAATTGCATTAAAACATTCGTAAAATAGCCCTAATGTTAAAACAAAGGAGGATATTCGACAAAGGGCCTTACATACGCATAGAAATTAAATTTTACCAACACTTGGTATATTATTTTTATACACGTATAAATTTTCGTTCTGAGTAATCGAAACACGACCAGCGCGTCTACTGGATGAGCTGTGCTTGTCGGCGGTTAAATATGTACATAGAAATGATGAAAGTTTAACAGGAACACACGAGAAATGGGCTACAGAGACAGCTTCAAGAGACATTAAGCGACATTTCCCTAAACTTTGTGGATAATGTAAAATACAAAATGCACTGAAACGCCGATGTCAACATACATAAATACATGTTAACAACAAACTTAGTTTGCTGACTGTAAATAACAGATACATCTACAGGCCTAACTTTGGATAAGAACGTGACACAAGTGAATAATCGATTAATAAATGTGAATGAATAAATTTCACCAAGTGACAACTGCTCAAGTCGTTCTTCTTACGAGAAAGACTGACATCAAACACTTAAATTAGAAAGTCATCAAGTGCCAATTTTGTACTTGTAACATGATGAGGAAGTTTCCAATGAACTACTTTTAACTCACGTTTCACAAAGCTCCAGATAAATGCGATTGTAGAAACTTAAAACCCACAAAATAAATTCCAGCATAATGCATTAGCCGCAGACTAATAACAGCGTTATGTTTTTGCATTTGTTTAGAATAGTTTAACTGGGCATTTTAACTGATCGTCTATGGACACTTCATAACTCAGCTTAATTATTTGAAATACTTTTGCAAAGATAAAATGTCCACATACGAGCAATAACACGAAAAATGCCAACAGTTTTATCGTTATGTTTTAATACTTGAGATCAACAGAGTCATTTTACAGTCTTAAAAGTTTCTTAAATATTGTGTTTTAGAACAATGATGTCAGTCGGGCTCTGCCAACATCAACTTCGGTGTACAGAAGAGGATTTATAGGAACGTGCGACCAATGAAACCAACAAACTTATCCGACTTACAATAACATTATTGGTTTGTATCCAAGAGTACCTGGTACACAAAACGCAGATCGGGACAAACTTACAATACGGTGATGACGTGACCTACGACAATCTCTGTATTGTATGATTATCGCAGTTACCGGACCTAATGTAAATAACACTCATTAGCCTGACGGATTCAACATGTCATGTTTTTAAAATAAGCTACTTTCAAGACGTTAGAATACCAGTTTAAAACCGGTTTCAAATTTATACCTGAGTGTAGCTTGTTTTCTCTGCGAATAAGCAAATTCTTTAACAATTTCTTCTTTATTCTTAATCTATTTGACGTCGTTCTGTCACATGGAGTCAATAAGCTATGCAAATATACAAGTCAACAGCGACGTACGAGCTAGATCACGCCATCAAAATACCCCTTGATGCTAACTTACTGATGACGCTTGGCGAATACTGAAAGTTATCTATTATTCTGCTGATTTATATGTATTTCAGGCCCAATATTTTCCCTATTCTTAAACAGCCTCACTCTGTTCTTCCTTCCGCTAACAATCATAGTTTCACATATATACAAAAACTTGGAAATATCAGATACCTTACGAAAATAGTGATGTTCATTTGATACTCTACGGATGTAATGGAAATTATATTCAGTACTTACCATCATGGCGGCGAGATTGGAACGTTAGAACAAGTCTAGCACAGTCACAGCATCAAGAACCTATCATCACAAGACACAGGTCACAACTGAATTCTCGCACGCAACACGCAATGTCACCGCCCTCTTCACTGAACGTGACCACAGTTCTACTCCACTGCCTTCTATGACCTTCACCAGCGACAAGGTCAGATAAAATGAGTCTTGCCTTCTGGTCATAATTATCTCCGGGAAACAAAACAGTAAAGACAGTACGATTTGGTGCGTATTTATTATTATAGTATACGTAAGTAATGCTGATTCCTTTTACATTATCCGCATTCACCATACCGAATCATAAACATTCCTTACATATGTTCCACGTTTTATAACGTATCGTCATAACTGCGTGCCTATTTGATCCAACTGACGGATTTCAATAACCCAGCATAACCGGGTAAAAACCCATTTGTAGTCAAAATAAATAATAATAATAATAATGCCTTTTGCCAAAGCGATCAGACTCTTCACTGTTCGAATCCGATACGTCTATCCAACCAAAGTTCTTTTCGTGAAGGACAAATTGTCTCGTGGGGCCATCGCCCCAGTAGTAGCAATACGCTATCAAGGGCTTCAATCAAGACAAAAATCCCTTTAGGGTTAAGCACATCCTCAGTTTGTAAGGTACCGTTTCGTACGCAGCAATGATTTAATCTATCAACAGACGACGTTTTGCATATATGCATGAGTCCGCCCTTAGCTTCCAGATGGTGATTGGCTGAACCTTTTAACAGACGACCATTATCATTTCTGGCAGTTGTGAAGTCTGAAACGGATGGGGAATTCGAAAAGAGGCATTCGGACAAAAACTTTAAGAACTCTCATTAGCTGCTTTTTATTTGACCTCCAGCCATATACACTAATGCCATACAGAGGTAAGTTATTAAAACGTCCTCACCAGAGAAATTTCGTACGCAAAGAAGGGTACTGTGTATCATTTGATCTGTGAAATTGAGGAACGTGCGACCAATGAAACCAACAAACTTATCCGACTTACAATAACATTATTGGTTTGTATCCAAGAGTACCTGGTACACAAAACGCAGATCGGGACAAACTTACAATACGGTGATGACGTGACCTACGACAATCTCTGTATTGTATGATTATCGCAGTTACCGGACCTAATGTAAATAACACTCATTAGCCTGACGGATTCAACATGTCATGTTTTTAAAATAAGCTACTTTCAAGACGTTAGAATACCAGTTTAAAACCGGTTTCAAATTTATACCTGAGTGCAGATTGCTTTCTCTGCGAATAAGCAAATTCTTTAGAAATTTCTTCTTTATTCTTAATCTATTTGACGTCGTTCTGTCACATGGAGTCAATAAACTATGCAAATACAAAAGCCAACAGCGACGTACGAGCTAGATCACACCATCAAAACAACCCTTGATGCTAACTTACTGATGACGCTTGGCGAATACTGAAAGTTATCTATTATTCTGCTGATTTATATGTATTTCAGGCCCAATATTTTCCCTATTCTTAAACAGCCTCACTCTGTTCTTCCTTCCGCTAACAATCATAGTTTCACATATATACAAAAACTTGGAAATATCAGATACCTTACGAAAACAGTGATGTTCATTTGATACTCTACGGATGTAATGGAAATTATATTCAGTACTTACCATCATGGCGGCGAGATTGGAACGTTAGAACAAGTCTAGCACAGTCACAGCATCAAGAACCTATCATCACAAGACACAGGTCACAACTGAATTCTCGCACGCAACACGCAATGTCACCGCCCTCTTCACTGAACGTGACCACAGTTCTACTCCACTGCCTTCTATGACCTTCACCAGCGACAAGGTCAGATAAAATGAGTCTTGCCTTCTGGTCATAATTATCTCCGGGAAACAAAACAGTAAAGACAGTACGATTTGGTGCGTATTTATTATTATAGTATACGTAAGTAATGCTGATTCCTTTTACATTATCCGCATTCACCATACCGAATCATAAACATTCCTTACATATGTTCCACGTTTTATAACGTATCGTCATAACTGCGTGCCTATTTGATCCAACTGACGGATTTCAATAACCCAGCATAACCGGGTAAAAACCCATTTGTAGTCAAAATAAATAATAATAATAATAATAATAATAATAATAATAATGCCTTTTGCCAAAGCGATCAGACTCTTCACTGTTCGAATCCGATACGTCTATCCAACCAAAGTTCTTTTCGTGAAGGACAAATTGTCTCGTGGGGCCATCGCCCCAGTAGTAGCAATACGCTATCAAGGGCTTCAATCAAGACAAAAATCCCTTTAGGGTTAAGCACATCCCCAGTTTGTAAGGTACCGTTTCGTAAGCAGCAATGATTTAATCTACCAACAGACGACGTTTTGCATATGTTCATGAGTCCGCCCTTAGCTTCCAGATGGTGATTGGCTGAACCTTTTAACAGACGACCATTA